TTTTTCACTTTCTTTTCCTTTTTTTCTCTTATTTAGTTCTTGTATGAAATGACTAATATAGAAATATTTGACGTGATTACACATGTATAAACTACATCTGACAGCCTACTGTCTTGGGAGGTAGAGAGGGAGGGAGGGATAGAATTTAGAACTGAAAAGTGAAAAAACAAATGTTAAAAAACTGTTTTAACATGTAAATGGGGGAAAATTTTATATATATATATATATATATATATATACATGTTAAATATTTTTTATTGATATTCAATTTAACAACTATTCAAAAACAAATTCTGAAATACCTCAGCAAAAGGATTATCCTTGTTAAATGGAAAAATGGTGTATAGGACTTAAACTTTTTTAAAAAATTAGGCTATGCACTCCATTTATTTAGTCTCAGAGAAATGAAGTTTCTCACATGTTAATTTTCTGGATAATTGAAGTTCACCATGTAAAGTATTGACTTAAAAAAACTTTAAACATTTTAGATAGAAGTCTTTTTATAACTGTTCCCTGTATTTCCCAAACCTCTTGAACAGAGTATACTTAGGGCAAAAGTGATGAACAATCATTTATTAGTACCAGGACTCAAGGAATAATATCAGCACAGTCATTGAGGTTTGCAGGTTTATTTATCTTTAATTAAATGATAATGCTTTTTTTCCCAGTTATTCTGCCTGCTTTTTATATTATCCATGGTATGCTTTGTTGTCCCTTCTTCTGGCTATCAATGCTTCTACCAAAAGGAGCCCCTTTATAACCAGGGTGATTATAACTGTGTCCCAATGGGTTTTAGTGACAGTATGAGGAGTTTTCCAATGAGTAAAAAGCATGAGTCTTATGGTTCTTATGGAACCTGTTTTGGCTGCTCAAAGGCCTCTTTTCTTTCTTTTCTGTTTTTTGTTTTCTTTTGCTTGTTTGTTTCACTTACTGCCAGGTTCTTGGTGGTGTTCTGGATAGTTGAGGTTGCGACATAGGCTGCCTCGGAATAAGTGAGTTATTACTGTATCCACACGAGCAAAGCAATGTTAGTATGGACTGTTGGCCAGGCTGTGAAAGTGTCCTCATTACATAGAAGAGGACATCGTCATGGCATTCATTAAACTGAGATTGTGTGCCCATAAAGTCTGTCAGACGATGTTGGGCTAGTACCAATAGGACCTTCTCCTGGCTTCTTGGCTGGTTTCTCTTCCTGAGCAGCAAGAGTCGATGCAGGTTCCCAAGCTGCTGCAGCTGGCATTGAAGGCTCAGATGTGGGTGGAGGGCTGGGAGCCAAGGCCGGGGAAGAGACAGGGCTTGAGCTGCAGATCTGCTGTGGATGAACTAACTGTAGTAGTGGGAGCGGGATCATATGGTTGAGTTGTCCATGGTGACGGTGTGGAAGTGGCTGCTGCCTTGGGTTTTGTCACCATAACCACCACAAAGTTCTTCTCATCAATTGTGGATTCCGGGAGAGCAGTATCACCGTTGAGGATTTTGCCTGAATAAATTCATTTTTGGCCTGCTACTGGAAAGGCATCCTTTCTCTCTTTCGATTCAGCCTTCTCTTTCAGTGGCTTCATGGTTTCCTCAGGATTGATGGAGATCTTGAAGGTCAGTTGTTGGAGGGTCTTCAGAGTGTTCTGCATGGTGCCGTCACTGCTGCCCCAGATGCCAGGGTTGCTCTGGGCTTGGTTGGTCTCTCGGGCCTGCTAAGAGGGAAGTCGAGGTGGCTGGTGGGCTTGGTCACATTCATCCTGTGAGGCAGCCTTTCCCATCGGGCCTGGGCTGCTGCCACCCCCGCAATCACCTTTTCTCTCCATCATGGGGCCAGTGGGGAGTCTGTCCTCACAAGCTGTGGACAGGTCTGGGAGGCAGGCAGTGAAGCCACTGGTTCATGAGGGACTGGGCACCACCACTGTGACTCGCTTCAACATCCCCCCTCCCCCTCTCACACACACACACACACACACACACACACACACACACACATATATATGACAGGTCAGAAAACATCGTATCATTGTTTATAACGTATCTTTGAGAAGACTCATTGAAGGGTACCAGAAATAAAATAAAATAAGATGCCTGGGTAACCCACACACACACACACACACACACACACACACACACACACACACACACACACACACAAAGATGATTTGGTGGTGGTTTTAAAAATTGAGAAATCCATCAGCAGAAGAAATTAGGTACATGGCAAACAGAAGAAAATGAACCCAGGAGCCCTGTGTTTGATAAACCCCAAATCCTCAGCTATTGGTGTAAAGACTCACTCTTCTACTGGAAAAACTGGGAATCAGTCTGGCAAAAAATTAGGTGTAGACCAACACTTCACATCATATACAAAAGTAAGCTCCAAATGCATACGTGACAAATATGAAAGATCGTATCACAAAACAATGAAAGATTTGCAAAGCACTTTATATCCTCTATTTCGTTGGATTATTATGAGGTTAGTAGAGGAAGTATCCCATTTTATAGATGAGAAAACTAACTATAGGAGAAGATGAGTGACTTTCTGGGGGTTATGCAGCTAGAGTATGTTGAAGGTAGGATTTGAAGCCAGGTCTTTCTAACTACAAGCACAGGCCCCTATGCATGACTCCATGCTATTAAAAGTGTGTGTGCATGTATAATAAATAGTCAGTCAGTAAGTCAACAATCATTGTTAAGCATCCACTATGAACCAAGCACTGTGCTAAATTCTAAGGATACAAAGAAAGACAAAATACAGGCTCTGCCCTCAAGGACTCCACAGTTTAGTAGAGGAGACAAGTTGCCAACAGCCATGTACAAACAATACACAAAATAAATTAGAGATAAGGGACAGAAGAACAGGCAGAGAAATTAAACAGGACCAGGAAAAGCTTCATGCAGAAGATAAAAGGTTATCTCAGGCTTGAAGGATGCCAGAGATACAACATAGAAAGGAGGAGGAAAAGAATGCCAAGCATGAGGCATGGCCACTGGAAAAGCCCAGAGTGTCCAGATGGAACAGCAAGGTGACTGTATTTCAGTATCGTACAGTGTGTGGAGTGGTGCAAAATGTGAGAAGACTGTACAGTTAGGAAGGGTGCAGGTTGGGAAGGGATTTGAATGCTAAACAAGTATTTTAAATTTTATCCTGGAGGTGATAGGAAGCGATTGGAGCTCACTGAGTAGGCCAGGGCAAGGGGTTAACATAGTCAGACCTATGCTTATAGAAAATAACTTTGTCAGCTGAATGAAGGGTAAATTGAAGTGGGGAGAGACTTGAGTCAGGGAGATCAAATAATGATAATTATAATAGCCAGCACTGATATAGTGCTTTAAGGTTTGCAAAGCATTTTTAAAATATGTGATTTGATCCTCACAACTACTTTGGCAGGAAAGTACAGGTGGTGAAACTAAGGCAGACAGCAGATAAATGACTTGCCCAGGGACACATGGCTAGTAAATGTCCATGGCCTGATTTGAACTTGGATGTTCCTGACTCCTGGTGCAGTGCACTATCCTTCATCCCACCTAGATGCCTCTGTAATAAAAAGTCATTTGATAGTCCTGGTGAGAGGTGATGGTGATGAGGGTCTGAACTAGGTGGTGGATACATGAGGAGAGAAGGAGCACAGCTGAAGAGCTGTGTGACGTGAGACAAGTAACTGAACTTCTCAGAGCCTTGATCTCTGCATTTGTCTAATGCCTGTCCAGCTGTGTGCCAGAATTATTATTTAAGCCTGGGGTTGGGGGTGGGGGGGGGGTTGATACCAAGCCATGATTACTCCAGAGCTGTTTGTGGAGAGAAGTCAGGGGCTTCCTAGGCTTCCCCAGTCTCTCTCTCTCCTTCTCTGTAAAGTGAACACAGGGGAATCTGAGGTCCCATCCTGCTCTCCATCTAGAACCCAATGATGCCATGATGCCACAACAATCTGTCCCTCAGGAGTCTTCACCCATTAGTCTCAGTCCTACCTTTTGGACACCCATGGATGGACTCTAGAAGCCTCTGTCACATGGCAGCTCCTCAGATCTTTGATGACAGATACCCTGTCCTACCCTTCTGAGGGGAGTGGGAGGAGCTATCAGGCAGGGTGGCCAAATGGGCTGCTTGTTTCAGCCTCTGGTCCTCCCTTTCCCTCCTCCAAGACTTGTCTTCACCTGGATAAGAGCTCCCTTTCATTCAGAGTTTCCTCCCCCTCTGTGACATGGTTTTTTGATTCTTTAGGATGCTGTTCACCAACCCCTGGAGCTGGAGTTCTTCACTCTTTTTGAGTCCTGGCTCTCTTAGGTAACAGTCTGGGGAAGTCTATGGAGCCCTCCCTTCTCAAAATCTTATTCTGAAGTGTGTGAAACAAAATACCAAGCAGTAAAATACAAAGGAAGTGAAATGTATTGAAATACCAGTATCAAAAATACTGAAAAAAACAAGTTAAAAGACCCCAGGGTAAGAACCTTCTCAAGACCCATCCCAATTTATCAAGAACTGGCCATGATACTGCAGAACATGGTCTGATCAAGGCAACAGAAAAGGAGGCTCTTAGCTTCCTCCAACTGCAGCTGCATGCTTTGCCTCTGCTTCCCATTGTTGACACTCATTGAGTTTGAAGTCCACTAAGATCACCAGGCCCCTTTTTAATCCAAATCTCTTCTAAGTTGTACTCATGCAGCTTATTTTTCAGACCAAGGATTATAAGACTTTAGATTGATATCTCTTGATTTTATATTTTTAAATTAGACTGACCATTCTTTCAGCCCATGGAAGTGTGTTTGAATTTGGTTGTTATCCAACATATTAACCACCTCACCTGGTTTTAAGTCCATTGCAAACTTGTCCATCGTTACCCATAAAGAGATTGCATGAGGTAAGGCTGAGGATAGAGCCCCGTGACTTAGCATTGGAAACCCTCCCAGAGGTGAAGGCTGATCTACTGCCTATGTGGCTGCTGAAATGAGGCAGGTATCATTTCAGGCAAGGACCATGTTTACAACAAGGCTTTGCATGCCCAGTCAAAGGTAAATATTAATCTGTGGACTTAGGTCTGCTTGGAGAAAAAACTCCTCCAGAGCTTTGGGGAAAGAGAAGAGAGATTTTTCTTTATTTCCAACATGAAAGCTCACATTTTTCTCCCCTTCTATTGGGGAGTAGGAAGCCTTTTTTTCTTGAGTTTCTGGGGCATGGCTGAAAGTGAGAAACTCCTGGTTTTCCCTCAAGATGGAAGTCACTGGCTCAGCATGCGGGATGTGATTGAAGAGCTCAGTAAGAAGGGACATGAAATTGTAGTCCTAGTCCCTGAAGTCAATTTGCTCCTTAAAGAATCAAAATTCTACAAAAGAAAACTCTACCCAGTCTCCTACCCCCAGGCTGAACTGGACAACCGTTTCGAGGCATTTGGCCATAATCTCTTTGCAGAGAGATCTTTCCTGAATAAAGCCTGGGTTGAGTACTGGAATGTCCGGCTTATCATCGACATGTTCTTCCTCAACTGTGACAGCCTGCTGAAGGACCCTGAGACCATCAGATACCTCGAAGAAAGCCAATTTGATGCCCTCTTCACAGACCCTGCCTTGCCATGTGGGATGATCCTGGCCGAGCATCTCTCCATTACTTCTGTATACTTTTTCCGAGGCTTTCCCTGTGCTTTGGAGCATACGATGAGCAGGACCCCCAACCCCGTATCTACCATCCCCAGATGCTATACTGCCTTTTCTCACCAGATGACCTTCTATCAGAGAGTAATCAACTTCCTGGTGAATTATTTAGAGACCCTCCTCTTCAAGGACTTGTACACAAAATACCTAGACATTGCTGCAGACTTCCTAAAGAAAGAGGTGACCCTGTCAAGCCTCTATGGACAAGGATCCATTTGGCTGTTGAGATATGATTTTGTGTTTGAGTATCCCCGGCCCATCATGCCCAACATGGCCTTCATTGGAGGAATAAACTGCAAACCAAGGGAAAGACTACCACAGGTTTGTGATTTTTGCTTTCTTGGGCTCTTCTATCTCTTAACTCTGCCTCGGACCTGGCCTGTGATGGATGTCTGGTCAATGTTTGCTGGCTGGAACTGAAATGCATTGAAATGAATTAGTAGATTGTGCCATTCCCCATCACTGATTCAACCAATCACACTGTTATTGTTCTGGACAGAAGAGATCTTGGTCCTCTAAATTTGTGCATGTCTGCTGACCCAGAGGACAGACTGACTGACTGTATTCTCATAGAGAAGAGGGCTGACATTTCCGACTAAGGGAACAACCAGGACATTCACTGAGTGGAGTTGGTAAGCAGGAAGGAGGGGAGGAAGGAAGAAAGGAAGGATGGACGGAAGGAAGGAGTAGAATAACAAAGGGCCTGGACTTGAAGGCAGAGAACTAAGGTTCATATTCCAATCTCTGCTACATGCTAGCTGAGTGACCTGAGGAAGTCACATTTCCTTCCTGGTTCTCATTTTCCTTAGGTGCCAAATGAGGCACTTGGACTTGGTGGTCTCCAATGTCCCTCCTAACCCTCCTTAGGGCTATTCTGTTGGGATCTAGGACCTAGTTTCTAATCCCAGCTCTGATCCTTTCTGAGTGGCCCTGGGTAAGTCATTTCTCTCCAGGCCTCAGTTTCCTCATCTACATAATGATGGGATTGGATTAGATTATTCATTCGAACTCTAGACAAATGATCTATAGGGGAAAGATTTGTATGAGAAGAACAGGAGACAAATTTGGGGCAAAACCGACCAATTTTCAAAGTTTAGAAGAGGAAAAATATCTTTTTTTATATATTTTTATTTCCTTGTTAAATAATTCCCAATTACATGTTAACGAGATTTTTAACATTCTTTTTCTGAAAATTTTACTTTCAAATTCTCTCCCTTCTTCTCACCCCTTGAGAAGTCAAGCAATATGATAGCAGCTATGCATGTGAAGTCACGGAAAAAGTATTTCCTTGTTAACCATCTTGCAAAAGAAAACCCATGAAAAAAAAAGAGAAAAAACAGTAAAAAAGAATGCTTCACTCAGCATTCAAAGTTCAAGATTAGAAAGAAATCTTCCAGCAGATCTAATGGAACTTCAGGCTTTTCAGATGAAGCCACTGAGAGCTGGAGACATTCAGTGACTTACCCAAGATCACAAAGTGTGTGGGGAACCATTTCCTGAGCTTCTGGCCAGGGCTCTCCCTGTCTATTATACTACTGTCACTATGGGGGAGGGGTGATGACAAGGTAGGAGACAGCAACATGGAAGTATTTATCATGGCACCACACGTGAGGAGGGGGTGGAGTGACCAGTCAGTAGTTTGTAGATTGCTCATTTATATAGTAGTATTTAGTAAATCTCTACTCTGTACAAGGCATTGTCTTGGGCTCTTGAGGTGATGCCAGGTCAAATCAGCAAGCATTTATTAAGTGCCTAATGTATGTCAGACCCTGTGCAAAGTGCTGGACGTGCAGAGAAAGACAAAAGGACAGTCCCTGCCCTCAAGGAGCTCACAGTCTAATGAGGGGATCAAGCATGGAAACACGCCCATACAAAAAGGCATCAACAGGAGAAAATGAAGAACATCGACAGATGGAAGGCAGTGACAGGAAGGGCTTCTTGTGGAAGTGAATACTCTACTGGAGACCTGAAGGAAGGCAGAGGAGGCAGGAGACAAGAGAGAAGGAGGAAGAGAATTCCAGTCATGGAGGGCAGGCAGCCAGGAAAATTGCCCAGAGTCCGGGGATGAATGGTCATATGGGCAGAAGAGCCAGGACACCAGTGTCACTGGGTCCCAGTGTAGGTGGGAGGGTCACTGGATCCAAATATATGTGTTGGGGCATGATGTATAAGAAAAATAGAAAGAGTAGAAATATAGGAGGGCGCTGGTGATGAAGGGCTTTGAATGTGGTGATAAGGGCCTGTAGCAGGGTTGTGGCATTGTCAGAGGTGAGGGGTGTATCCAAGACATCCTTCTGAGGTGGAATTGAGAGGATGTGGTGGCCAATTGGTAATCGGGGGTTAATAAGAGAATTAGAAGGTGAGGATGACACCTTGGTTTCCAGCCTGTGTGCTTGGGTTGGGGGGAGGAAATGGTGGGGCCCTGGACAATAAAGGTGAGTTTAAAAGTGTGAGTTTAGGGGAGAGTGAATTACTTCCATTTTGGACATTGTGAGTTGAAGCTGCATCTTTGACATCCAGGTCAATGTGTTTGACCATGTGACACTGGAGGTCTACAGAGACTGTGGATATAAAAGGAAAAGAAACATGTTCCTATATTCAACATAAAATGGATCTTAGTGATTAGGGATATGAAGCCCAAAGAAATGTGATTCCCTGCATTTAAGGAGTTGGTCATCCTATACCTGCCATTGTGGTGTGGAAATCTGGTTGGTGGGACGCCAGGGGAGGTGGTTCTGTTCATGGAAGCAGGAGAGAGAAGACTGTATTTGATGCTCTGTGGGGTCTGTGCCACACCTTCCCTCCACTAGCCCAGACTGCACTCTTCCTTACTTGCTCATCCAGAATGGTTCTTGCCCATGTCTTCCTAGAAATACTGCTGCTGTCTAACTGAATCAAGGCCTTTTTATTTTTTTATTTTTTATTTTTTGGCAATTGGTGTTAAATGACTTGCCCAGGGTCACACAGCTAGTAAGTGTCAAGTGTTTGGTCTGAGGCCAGATTTGAACTCGGGTTCTCCTGACTTCAAGGCTGGTGGTCTATCCACTGCACCACCTTGCTGCTCCCAGTCAAGGCCTTTCTTTAGGTCTACTAATATTTCAGGAGTACCAGAAAAGTATGTAGGCTCTCCATTGGTGTTTGATTAGGGTTTCTCATCAGAAGAGTGCCCCACAATTCCTGGATGATGTCGTTCTGGGCCCACAATTCCTGGATGATCTCCTTCTGCCTCCTCTTGCCCATTGATACTCATCAGTAATATGTTGACAGACAGATAGGTTGCCAAATGAAATATTTTGGTCAGAAGGAAGATAAATCAAATATGACAGACATTGACATTGCTTTTAATGATTAATGTAGGAAGTCAATCATATAAGTGAACAGGCAAAAGTTCATTCTCTCCTCAAAGTACCTTTTGCCTTATAAAATGTAGTGCTTTCATGACCAGGCAAAGGTAAGGCACAGAGTTATCAAGACAGGGACCAGAGCAGGCTTTCCAGATCCTGCTCACTTTCAGGGCTTCTGGACTTTGCAGAGATGGCCACAGGGCTGCAACCTTGGCCCCAGGCTCTGGTGGGGCTGGCTTTCTGTGCTGCCTGCCTCAGTTTTGCCAAAGGGGGAAAGCTACTGGTGATCCCCATGGATGGCAGCCACTGGCTCAGCATGCGTGAAGTGGTCCAGCAGCTCAGTCTGAGAGGCCATGAGAGTGTGGTCCTGGCACCAGAGCTGTCCACGCGCATCAGGGAAGGACAGTACTATGCTTTGAGGACCTTTCCAGTCACTTTCAGCAAGGACCATTTTCATGAGTTAACTGAGTCTCATTTCCAATGGTCGTTTGACCAGAAACCTCTTCTGAAGAGATTCTTTGACATTGCTGTACTCTTTAAGATAGTGAGTGATATGTACTTTAGCTTCTGTGTGGACCTAGTCCACAACAAGGAACTGATGAAGTCCCTAGAAGAGGCTCACTATGATGCTGTTTTAAATGATCCTGTTACTCCTTGTGGAGCCCTGGTGGCACAGTATCTGTCCATTCCAGCTGTTTATTTCTTGAGAGGAGTCCCCTGTGGTTTAGATATTGAAAGCACTCAGTGCCCTGAACCATCTTCCTATGTCCCCAAATTTGCAACAGAAAACACTGACCGGATGACATTCCTACAGCGAGTCAAGAACATTCTGTATCCTTTGCCCCAGAAGATGGTGTGCCAAGTCTACCAGAAACCCTATGAAGTCCTGGCTTCAAAACTTCTTCAGAGAGACATGAGTATAGTGGATATTCTGAGCTATGGATCTGTGTGGCTTCTAAGGACAGATTTTGTGATGAATTACCCTAAACCGATCATGCCAAACATGGTCTTCATTGGGGGCATCAACTGTGCCAGTGCAAAGCAGCTCTCTCAGGTTGGTACGTGATACCTTAGCCCACATTGCAGGTGCCACTGAGCAGGTTAAGTAGAGCCTCTTGTTTCTAATTAGTCCCCAAACTTTTGGTGACACAGAGTGTGCCCAGAAAAGATTGCCTTAGATGTTTTCTTGTGGCAGTTTCTTAATTAGGTAGAACCGTGGGGTTGGCTTGAGGCAGAAGGATGTGTCTGAGTGCTTTTGTTTAAAAATTGCTTTTGCCATGATTTCTTTGTGTTCTCATTACCCCTGCTTCTCTGGTGTTTCGGGTCCATAGGAATCAGGAGACCTGACTCTTCCACTGACCAATATGTTGTCATGGGGAAAGGGGTCTGCCTTCTTTGCAGTTTATTTTCCTCTTTAGTCCAATAAGGGAGACATAGCACACAGGCTTGGGCTTCTTAAATGAGTCTTTGGGTCCTTGGTTATAGCCTCAGAGGCTCATAGACACACCTCAGAGACCTTCTAGTCCCTCCCCTTATTTTACATATGGTGAGAGACAACCTGGTTTGGTGGATAGAACACTGGAGTTGAAGTCAGGAACAGTTGGATTCAAACATTTTCTCTCTGTGTGTGATGCTTGGAAAGCCAGTAACTGGGCAGAGATGCCCACTCTCTAGGCATTAGTTTCATCATCTGTAAAATGATCACGGACTCAGTGACTTCTAAGGTCTCTTCAATTTCTAAAGCTATGAGCCTATAGAACTGAGGGCAGCTAGATAGCAGAGTGGACAGAGTACCATGTAATGGGAACCTTGACTAGGTTGGAGGCTCTGGGATTGGAGAAAAGCTAAGGAATATGACAGACGAAATGAACATTGACTCAATTAGACATAGGAAGTGACAGGAGACAGGGGTTGAAGGAGAGGAAAGACACAACTCCACATTTTGAATCCAGGTGACTCAAAGGCTGCAGTTGCCAC